AATCATACTGAAAAGCATAATGTGTGCAAACGACAGCAACATTTTTTTTTCTGGCCCCATGTTTTAAGCATATTTGTATTCTGAGATAATAATAATAATGATAATGATAATAATATTGATTGGATTTGCCTGTGTCCTTTATGAAGTATATATCTCTGGTACACCTCCGGCTTAGGTGGTTTCTTTATGTTTTGGATGCATCCATGGAGGAGAAGAGTTTAATGGCTATTGGGTAAATCACAGAATCTCAGAATCACAGAGGTAGAAGGGGCAAGAAAGGTCATCTAGCCCGACCCCCTGCTCAATGCAGGATCTGCTGAGAACATCCCTGACAAAGGTTTGACCAGCCGCTGCTTGAAGACCATCTCCCCAAGCAGCTGATTCCACTGCTGTGTGGCCTTGCAAGAGCCTTATAAAAGGTAAAGACTCAAAAGCCAGTCGAGTCCGACTCTAGGGTTGCGGTGCTCATCTCCGTTTCAAAGCCGAAGAGCCAGCGCTGTCTGAAGACGTTTCCATGGTCATGTGGCCGGCATGACCAAACACCAAGGGGCACAGAATGCTGTTAACTTCCCACCGAAGTGGTACCTATTTATCTACTTGCAATTTCTTGCTTCCGAACGGCTAGGTTGGCAGGAGCTGGAACTAGAGATGGGAGCTCACTCCGTCATGCGGCACCCGGGTCTCGAACTGCTGAACTACTGACCTTCCACAGCCTGCAGTTCAGCATCTTAACCACTTGAGCCACCGCAGCTCCTAAGAGCCTTATACAGCACCTATAAAGGCTATGAACTATAACTGCAAAGCTCAACTGTAGAACAAATGTGCCAGGGTACCGGACTGAATGGTAGCCATGAGATAGTGCCAGTCGACTGGACTGTAGGCATGTGCCCAGCTGAGGGAAGCCTCGCTCCGAAGCAGTGTGCCAAGCCAGATGTGGGCCCATGCAATACCCAGTGCATCTCATGGTTGCATCCTTGCAATCTCTGCAGACTTATGCCAGAAGGCAAACCAGCCTCCCTGACCTCACAGATACACAGAAGCCAGCAGCAGTTCACTATGAGTTTTCCCTAAGATCCAGCCACTACCTTCCCACCCTTAATTCAAACCCCTTATTGCAAGTCCTCTCCTCTACTACCAACGGGAGCTGTCCTCCTCTAAGTGACAGCCTTCCAATACTTCAAGAGAGCAGTCCTGTCCCCCCTCAGCCTCCTCTTCTCCAGTCTGAACATTCCCAAGTCCCTCAGCCTTTCCTCATAGGTTTTCTTGGTCTCCAGGCCCCCAATCATCCTTGTCACTCTTCTCCGCATGCGCTCCATTCTGCCCACATCCTCCTCTAAATGACAGCCCTTTGGATACCTCAAGAGAGCAATCATCCCCCTCTTCTCCGGACTAGATATTCCCAAGTCCCTCTGCCTTTCCTCACAGGGCTTGGTCTCCAGGCCCCTGATCATCCTCATTGCTCTTGTCTGCACCTGCTCCATTCTGTCCACATCCTTTTTGAAGTGAGGCCTCCAGAACTGTACACAATACTCCAGGTGCGGCCTGACCAATGCAGTATACGGTGGGACTATGACATCTTGTGATTTGGATGTTATGCCTCTGTTGATACAGCCCATGATACAGCCTTTTTTTGTCACTGCATCACCCTGGCTGATCATATTTAACTTACAGTCCACCCATACCCCAAGATCTTGTTCACACACACTGCTACCCAGAAACCTATCTCCCATCCACTATGCGTGTTCCTCATTTTTGTTACCCAGATGTAGAATTCGGCACTTATCCTTGTTAAATTGCATCTTGTTCCCATCTGCTAACTTCTCCAGCATGTTTAGATCTCGTTGAATTCTATCTCTATCTTCTGTTGTGTTTCCTGTTCCTCCCAATAGGTAAATGGAATCTCCATGATCAGAGGAACTTTATACCTGAGAAGCAAATTTTGCATATATCTTACAAGGGAGAAATGTTGCTTTCATGCCATTCATGGAAGCTTTCTAGAAACATCTGGCTAACCACAGCTGGGTGTCATTAAGGGGGAACACATTGTTGTACCCTATGCACAGATTCACTGACAGACTTCGAACTCTGTTAAGATGCACAACCCAACTTGTTAAAGTGGGAATTCACTGCCATAGGAAGTGGTGGATGCTACAAGCATGGATGGCTTCAAAAGGGAATTAGATAAGCATATGGAGCAGAGGTCCATCAGTGGCTATTAGCCACAAGGTATAGATAGAGACTCTGGGGCAAGGGATGCTCTGTCTTCTTGGTGCTTCGGGGGGTCAACAGTGGGAGGGCTTCTAATGTCCTGGCCACACTGGTGGACCTCCTGATGGCCCCTGGTATTTTTGGCCACTGTATGACAGAGTGTTGGACTGGATGGGCCTTTGGCCTGATCCAACATTGGTGTCTCTTATGTTTTTATGTTCTTACATTCTGAAGTTGAGCAACATTGTCTTATAAAATAATTTACCTTAGGGTGGGTGGAGGAAGGTCCTACAACCAAAGGAGCCTTCCACCAACTTAAGTGTAATCCAATGGAAGAGCTACTTGAGTTGGCGAAGCCTCCTGAAGATGAATGAAGTGTTCAGACATTGTGAAGCAGAGTGGTTGGATACAGAGCACTGACATTCGGATGCATTTGAAATACTGAGCAAGTGAATCTTTCCCTGTTGCCATTCCTACATAGTGCTAGGTTTTAAAATACCAGTATTAACAACATCAGCAAACCAGTGGTCCTGGTCACAGGGAGAATTAGGTACGCGATGGATTAAGGGCGGATCAAACCGGCGCGATCAGACGCCAACATCTGGCAAGCGTCGCGCACCCGCCCCTAACCCGTCGCAACTGGCCAAAAATGCGGATCGAAAAGGTACTAGGGAAAATGGAGTACCTACCGAAAGATTTGCAGCAACGGTGGGTGTGGGATCGTGGACGCGCCGTCAGCCCTTAGCATCCTGCAGCCGTCCATGACCCACGCATGCGCACTAATGCAGGACCACTGTGTTGCCTGGCTGGGACTATTCTGTTGCCTCCCCAGTGTGATCGGGTGCCGATGGAGGGAGAACAGAGCAGTGGGGGAGCATAAGATCATGCTCCTGTGCTTCTTTTAGCTCCGCATCTAATATGCCTCCCTTCCCCGACAGATTTTCCCGCTCGTGTGACTGGGACCAGTAACAACTATAACTGATGATGATGAAAATTGTCACAGTCATATATCTGACTGGTAGATGGTGTTCTGCAATTTGAGATCTAGCCAAGTTTTTTTAGGAATTGCAGGGATATCTTCACAGGATTCTTGCTGTTCTAAAGCAACATTGTCTTCTGGAGCTGACCTGGTGTTATTTACTCATTGTCGAGAAATTCCGGGTGTTTCTTGAGACTTCTAGGCACTGCTACAAGGGCTCAAATGACAATGAATCTCGGCCTATCTGTGCTCTGCCACTCAGTAATAACCCCTCCAGTGTTCCCTCTAAGCTAAGCTAGTGTGAGCTAGCTCACTTTTTTTTTTAGCCTCCAGCTCACACATTTTTGTTTTCGCTAAGGAAGGATGGCTCCGGAGCAAACTAATTTATGCAGTAGCCAAATCGCTCACTCACAACTTTGAATGCCAGTTGCTCACAAAGCAGCATTTTTGCTCACAAGACTCCACAGCTTAGCGGGAGCATGCCCCTCGGGCTCTTTTTGTAGTCGGAACTCCTTTGCATATTAGGCGACACACCCCTAATGTAGCCAATCCTCAAAGAGCTTACAGTAGCCCCTGTAAGAAGAGCTCTGTAAGCTCTTGGAGGATTGGCTACATTAGGGGTGTGTCACCTAATATGCACCTTGGGTACCGGTGAGAAAGACGGACTATAGATAACATAAATAAAACAATAAATAGATGATGTGCTCCTGTTCCAGTTCAGATAACGTCTATCACAGCTCTTTGGTTTTATTCATACAGAAGCCTTCTCCATACCATAGAGCAGTGATGCCAATCTGTCACTACGAATTTATTACAGGGCTATTTTTTGTAGCAGGAACGCCTTTGCATATTAGGTGACACACCCCTAATGTAGTCAATCCTCCAAGAGCTTACAGTAGCCCCTGTAAGAAGAGCTCTGTAAGCTCTTGGAGGATTGGCTACATTGCTAATATGCAAAGGAGTTCTTGCTACAAAAAGAACCCTGCGGGCCCTCCCCACTTTTTTCAATTTCTTAGAAATAAGAAGCAACTGAATCCACATGAGAAATTTGGATGCAGGCAAAAGCTTTATTGAAGAGAAAGGAGAGTGGGTAACATCATTTGCAGTGAAGCAGTTTCAGGGATGACAAACGTACATTCTTTACTCAGCAAAAACAGTGGCTTTCCCACTGCCTGTTTAGCTGGGATAACTTAATGGTTTCAAAGCAAACGAATACAGAGATAAACACAGGTTACTGTTGAGGCAGGAAGACTTTAGTGAGCCACTTAAATATTTAGAGGCCCAAAGAAGGAAGATGTACATAGCCTTCTGGTCTCCCAACCAACATAAGTTAAGGAAAATGAAATGAAGCTTAAACGTGAGAGGTGAGAGTAGAGAGAATACAGATTAATTAGAAGAGGAGAAGAAGAGATTGGATTTATACCCCACCCTTCACTTCCCGAAGGAGTCTTAGAGTGGCTTACTATCTCCTTTCCCTTCCTCTCCCCACAACACACACCCTGTGAGGTAGGTGGGGCTGAGAGAGCTCTCTCAAGAACTGCCCTTGAGAGAACAGCTCTGAAAGAACTTACGAGTGACCCAAGGTCACACCAGCAGTTGCATGTGGAGGAGATGGGAGTCGAACCTGGTTCTCCCAGATTAAAGTCCGTGCTCCTAACCACTACACCAAACTGGCTCTCATTACCATAAGTTGGTGGTCATGGGCAATTGAAATGTTGTTCCTGAGCACCAACTGACCCTGATGTGAACTGGGACGTGTCTTTCTGTCTGACACCCGAGTCTGTGAAGTCGCTGGGCGTCAAACTCTTCCGTATTTTTTCAGGTAGCCGTTCCATTCCCTTTCTTCTGGCTTAACAGGTAGAATTGCAGATGCGTCCACAAGGGGAACAGCCGCCACAGGCCGTGTAGCCTCCCACACGGACGGGTTCACAGCTGGCAGCCATAACTGGCCCTGGGACTGTAACCACGAAAGGAGGTGGCTGTATAACGCATTCCGATGGTGGGATCTGGTTGACGCAGGCGACGCTGGCCCCACTGGTGATGCCCAGGCAACGTGCTGATGTTGAGTTACCGCAGCATGAGGAGGAGCAGCATTTATTGTTGCAGCAGTCCAGGGAGCCCAGACCGCCGACAGGGTAGCTACATGGGGAGCAGCAAGGTTGGGAGCAGCAAGGTTGGGGGCAGGAGGGGATAGCACAGGATGGAGCACAGCAGCAAGACATCTTGGAAAGGTGAGTCTGGAATGACATGACGAGAGGACGGGAAATGTCAACGTGAGAGGCAGAAGAAACTTATCATCAGTATAAGCATTCTCACTGTTAAGTCGGTTACGAGTCAGAGAGTGATTCAGCAAGGAACACCTTTATTCAGCAACTCGTGACTCAACTCCAACACAGGTCAACTTGGATAGCCAGAACAGCTTTAGCATTGAAGCTGGTCTGCTTTTAAACTCTCCCGGCCAATGTAGCCACGCCTACTATACAATACCAACCAATAAGACTGTATACATAAAGTCCAATCACAGACGTTCCCACTCAGGCAGCTTGAGGGTCTGTGATTGGTTGGTTCTTCCTGGGCTACCAATAGGATTGGAGGTATTAGAATCCTAGCCCAGGACGAAGCTTGACATTGTACTTCAATTAGGTGATTCACATACAGTTATGTATTCCATTGGCAGCTATTGAATACATCACACTCACGTGGAGTAAACAGAATAGAAATTAGTACTTCTTACTTCAGAATAAATATGTTGCTAATGCACTTTCCCCGTCCCTTATTTGTTCCACGATCTAACATATCTAATGGAACAAATATAGAGTCTGGTGGCACCTTGAAGACCAACCAAGGTTTATGCGAGGTATGAGCTTTCGTGTGCGTACACAAGCTCCTACCTTGAATAAACCTTGATTGGTCTTCAAGGTGCCACTGGAGTCTACATTTATTCTGCAGGCTCAGACCAAACACGGCTGACCACCTGGAAGTATCTGATGGAGCTTCTTTTTAAATATAAAATTAGGCTGACATGCAGAAAAGGAGGGAAGGTAGTGTGGTACAGCCCGATCTCATCCGATCTCGGAAGCTAAGCAGGGTCTGCCCTGCTTAGTCCTTGGATGGGGAACCTCCAAGGAACGCAACAGAGGACGGCAATGGCAAACCACCTCTGCTTCTCACTTGCCTCAAAAGAGTCTTGCTGGAGCGGCCTTCAGTTGGTTGCGACCTGACCACACCTTTGATACACGCAAGGTGAACATAGCTACCTAGTGACTCTTTCAGCTACACTGAACTCTGGGCCATTTTCAAAATGAAGATTTTCAACAGAATGCAAGATCCTCTCCCTCCAAAGGAAAGAACAACTGTATGGGTTCTTCTAAAGAAGAGGCTTGCCGCTAAACTTCTGTTCCTTGCAGAGCTCGACAGGACTGGGAAGACTTATTCGAAATTGTCTAGTGAGTCAATAGCCAAGGTGAGAATTGCCTTGGTGGGACTTCCAGTGTGCATCTCAGTTGAGGGATGCCAAGGTCCAGATGGGGCCTGGAGAGTTCTCAGAAATACAACTAATTTCCAGACTACAGAGGACAGTTCCTCTGGAGAAAATGGCAGCTTTGGAGGGTGGTCTGTAGGTGATTATACCCTGCTGAGGTATCTCTACTCTTCAAACCCAGCCTTCTTCCATCTCCACCCCCAAATTTCAAGGGATTTCTGAACCCAAAGTTGAAAGCCCTACATTTTGTTCACAAACCTGTCTCAAACAGGTTTTTGAAGAAGATGTGTACTGATTTTCTCAGCCCACTTCTACTTAAGTAAACACCTGTAAAGTTCAAAGAGAGCCACTTGTCTTTCTTTTCTCCCTCTGCCTCAGTTTCTTTCTAGGTGTCCTCTGGTCCTTTTCCTTTATACATTCAGGCATGAGAACTATCACTAATCACATCAAACTCTTTCTTCGCTTGTTTCCTATGGAATTTCTCAGTTTCCCCCCCTCCCCCAAAGGAAGCACTTCCTAAACTGCTTACTGGCTCTCTGTCTTGCTTTCTTACCAGATATATCTTATACTTGGAGAAGACATTACGAGGGACTTACCAGGAGCAGAAGAAGAAGAGAAGGTAGCAAGAGAAGCTTGAGTTGTGGAGATGGTGGCCGGTCTCAAGGGCTTTTATACCATCTCTGGGGAGCACTAAATGCATGACACATTTAATGCATGTTTAGTTAGTTAAATTTTCAAAGCTCCCATGGCATTTTGTAAGGTTTGAACCTCATATTATCGTTTGAACCTCATACTATATTACCCTGCAGTCTTCCTTCGATGTATGATATTATAGGACTTGCTCAGAAGTCCTATCTCAGTTTACTTGAGTCAGATCAGAAATTAACCTCCGGCAACTCCCAGTTGACTACAAAGGAAGGCAATCATCCCACAGTGCCTGGAATGCACAAATTTTAATATCCCATTTCAAAGTGCTGACACATCTGAATTTGGAATCCGAGGCTGTAATTAGAGATAAATCAAGCTCCCCCCGTTCTTGCTCAGCTGTTGTTCTGTATGGCGGTGCTACACTTCCGCTCTGCCCGTCTTCTCACTTCAATGACTCCATTTTGACACTTTTTAAAAATATACTTCACAGATGATTTTCATTCGTTACAGGTCCCTTGTGTAAAGAAGGGCCTATGCACTTTGATTCAATCACAGAGTACAATAAAAGTGGGCGAAAAGAAGTCTGAGGTGTTTATGAGATACCTTCTTTTTTGAGAAGAGGTTTCATCTGCTGTCGAAGGCCTTCACGGCCAGAGTCCATTAGTCGTTGTAGATTTTCCGGGCTGTGTGGCCATGGTCTTGGCGTTGTAGGACCTGACATTTCACCAGCACCTGTGACTGGCATCCTCAGAGGTAGAACACAGGATGACACAGAGAGAGTACTCCATCTTTCTGTGCTGTACCTCTGAGGTTGCCAGTCACAGCTGCTGGTGAAACATCAGGTCCTACAATGCCAAGTCCATGGTCATAAAGCCCGGAAAATCTGCGACAACTAAAGAGGTTTAATCAATTGATATTCAGCAAGTGGGAAATGAAGACCCATGAGCCGGAGGAGTGTAGCGCACTGAGTGTCAGCCATGGGTTCAGATTCACACTCATCTGTGAGGGTCACCTGGAGATTTGGGGCCAAACGTACCTCTCAGGTGTGTGGTAAGGATACAATGAAGGAGGACCATGTAGAATTATCCAGCCCTCTTTGAGATTGACTGTGCTGGAAATCGAATAGTAAATTATGATTGGCATCCTACCAGAGGCTGAAGAAAGTTCCCTCACCGTAAGAAAACATCCTGCGATTTAAATGCCTCCTCCTCCAAAAGGAATAACATTATCGTCAACCCGGTTCCCCAGACCTCGGCCCCTTTGCGGCCGTTGGGATGGGGGGGCAAATTTGCCGCCTAGCCAGAAGAGGCAGGCAGTGTTTAGGCGCCAACAAAAGCCCATACGGGCATTCCTAGGAAGGAGGGGCCAATTAGTTATAAAAGCCGGCCCCTCCTTACCTAGCCAGCAGTCCCGCATGATCGTTGGCCCACCCTCCCGCCCTGTATTTAGTGCAGGCTTTGGCTGGTCACCCATTGGGGGCCAGGTAGGATTTTTTCGCCCTTTCCTGATTGGCATTTGGAGGGGGTGTTTTCACCTACCTTGCACTTTAGCAGTGGTGAAGGTGCTTACAGGGTGGGCTCAGCAGGTAGGTTGGTCACTTTTAAGGCAGGGGTCAAGGCGGTATAGAGGTTGCGGTATGGTGAGCACCAGCCAAAACTCATTTATTGGGTTGAAGGGGTCTTGTGAGTACAGCCTTTGTGCCTTACGGCACGGGGCTGGGAAAACAGACTGCCTTTGGAACCACCCCGCTTGGGTCCTCCCTTTGAGCCCAGCGGCTCAGGGGTTGGGCTACGGGGTTGTACTGCAATGGCTAGCCGGCTGGGAGGGAGCCATTGATTATGGCTCCGGCCTGGAGCAGGGTGGCTCGCCCTATTGGGAGTTGAGGAGGGGGTTGTTGACCCCTGGACTTGACCATACCCCTGACTGTTTGCCCTTGCTGTGGATTCCAGTTGAAGCTGTAAGGCTCTGGTCACATGGGCTGGAAAATGCGGGGGGGCGGGCAAAGAGTGGCTGTTTGCCCCGGGGCAAACTAATGCACGACTGTGCGATCAGACGTCCGGTTGAGGTCCCGTTGAGGTCCCGTGGTTAGGGGGGAGGTGCTGATCACACCACAGGCAAAGAAGCGGGGCGGCACGGCAAACGGGGTTGTTGTTGTTGTTTTAACTTTTTTAAACTGAAGTGTGCGCATGCTCTGTTGGGTGCTTGTGCGCATCCCGTGGAGACTTGGGGGAAAAAATGACCTGTTTGCGAGGGGACATGGGCGGGCGCCGGATGCCACCGGAAATGCGATCAGACGCCCGCCCTTGTCACGTGATTTCCAGAAACTAGTACCTTGGAGGTACTAGTTTTTTACCCCGCATCTTTGGAGTGGAGCCACGGGTTCGCCACGGGAGCACTGTGCTTCCCAGATGTTAAGGTGAGATCGCGCCTGGAAAATCCGCGGGTCTCCCGTGCCTCTCCTGCGGCAACTTTGCCGTGTGACCGGGGCCTTCATTAAATAAAGTGGCCCGAGTTTTAAATCCATTACTTGTGTCTATCTCGTTATTCCGGCTTGGGTGGCAATAACAGTGATAACAACAACAACACTCCATAAGCATGATGTGCGTGTCTGAATTCTAATAATGTGCATGTCTAATTCTAATAACGGTGAGATGCCTAGGATCCATTAGCAGCTTAGCACCATACCTGAGCCTGAACATTTACTGAGATCAGCGTCCTATCTTAAAGTATTATCTTTCATGACTTGTTTTAAAGCACTTCATGAACGAGAGAACTTTTGTACTACTATAACGTTTCCTGAGGAAGATCCAATTCTGAAACACTGTTATATAATTCGGCGACGACGTTGATGATGTACCTTTGCACTAGGATTTTCTTATGATCTGTAGGAATTGATTTATCATGTTGCAGTGCTTCAGACTGTAATACGTGGTAAACATTTTCTCTGCAAGTCTTGTTGACTGCTTGATTTGTGGGGTCAGACTCTCACGACTGATTTCTTTATACTTGTTCTCCGATTAGGTCGTGTTTGTCCACATTTGTCTTGAATTCTAATGATGAAAGTTTATTTTAAAAGATGCTCTATAGTTCGACTAAAAACTGAGACAATTTCGCTTGAGTTCCAATATTCTGCACTGGACAAAAAATATAAATAAATACAATCAATGAATGATGAACATTAAAGGTTTTCAAAAATTCTGATTCTTCTTTGACGGTGGATAGAATGGCCAAAAATGAAATCATGACATACGTGTATTCCAAAGAAATTGGAGAGGAACCAAAAGGGCTTGTCCTAAACAATTATGTGCTAATTAGCAGATACCCCAACATTATCACAAATTTCACCTAACTCATAATTTCACCCTGTCTGAAAATGCTTACATTTATTGCCACCCAAAGCAATTTGGTGCCCTGACCTTGGTGACCAGGCTCATCCAATCACATCAGATCTCAGAAGCTAAGCAGGGTTGGCCCTGCTTAGTACTTGGATAGGAGATTGCCAAGAAAGACCAGGGTGCTACTCAGGGACAGGCAATGGCCATCTACTTCTGTAATTCTCCTGTCTTGAAAACCCCACAAAGGGTTGCCATAAGTTGGGTGCAATGCAATGAACTTTCCACCACCATCAAAGCAATTTGGTTGATAGGACAAATAGGACAGTAAAAATGGAACAATTTCCTTACGTGATACTCTATTAACTTCTTTATCTCTGTTCCACAAGATGGCTACAACTTAGATGGTTTATAAGTGCATTGGACCCATCCATGGAGGAGAAGAGTTCAATGACTAGAGGGTAAATAGATAAATGGAATCTCTATGGTCAGAGGATGTTTACACTTGAGTAGCTAATCTTGTATACAACTTATAGGGGAGAAATCCTTCCCTTCATGGGAGCTTTCTAGAAACATCTGGCTGGCCACAGCTGGACTTTATTAAGGATGAACATATTATTGCACGCTATGTACAGATTCACTGACACATTTCTAACTCTTTTAAGATGCCTAGCCCAGCAGGACAGAGATTTAGATCAGTCCGTGTTTCTTTGAGCAACATTGCCTTATACAAGAATTTGTCATAAAGTGGAAGGTCCTACAACCTAAGCAGCCTTCTGCCAACTTAAGTGTAATCCAGTGAAGAGCTGCTTGAGCTGGTGGAAGCCTCTTCGGGATGAATGAAGTCTTCAAACATTGTGAAGCAGAGTGATAGGATACAGGTGCCTGTCAATAGTAGGGATGGGCATGACCTCAACCAAGAAGGAAAACTCATTCTGAATTTTCCCCTGTTCATGGTTCAGGAACAGAAGTTCATGACGGGTCCACCATAACGAACTTCTACAAACTTTTAGAGCATGTTCTTGGTGGTTCGTGGATGGAGCAGGAAGGGATTCCAAGCAATGTCCCCTCTAAGCTGTGGAGTCCTGTGAGCAAAAATTCTACTTTGTGAGCTCCTGGCATTAAAATTGTGAGCAAACGATTTGGCTAGTGCATAAATTTGTTTGCTCTGGAGCCCTCCTTCCTGAGCTAAGACAAAAATGTGTGAGCCGTAGGCTAAATAACTGTGAGCTAGCTCACACTAACTCAGCTTAGAGGGAACACTGATTCCAGGTCTCTTTAAACCTTTGCTTACTGTTCCACATGAAAGCTGCAGAAACTGCTGAGCAGAAGGGAGGCGCTCCCCACCACGCAGCTGATTCAGCCTATCTTCTGCAGTCCATTTAAACTTTAAAAGCACTGCGTAAGTCAGCTGCATGGCAGGCAGGTGCTCTCCATTGGCAGCTGTTTTGGACTGTCTTCTGCTGCCCCTTTAAAATGTAACAAGTCTGCAGAAGATAACATGGAAACAGCGGTGTGGCGGGGAGGTGCTCCCTGCTGTGCAGCTGTTTTGGGCCGTCTTCAGCGGTCCCTTTAAAGATTAAAAGGATTGGAAAACAGAAGAAAAAAAGCTTGCATGGCACAAAGGGGCTCCCTGCAATGCGGCTGTTTTGGGCTGTGGTCCCTTTCAACAAGAAGAAGAAGAAGAAGAAGAAGAAGAAGAAGAAGAAGAAGAAGAAGAAGAAGAAGAAGAAGAAGAAGAAGAAGAAGAAGAAGAAGAAGAAGAAGAAGAAGATCCCTAACATATTGTTTGCTTTTTCACTGCTGCAGCACATTGGCTTTTCATTGAGTTATCCACTATTGCGAAGACCCCAAGATCTTTTCCCCTCTCAGTTTCAGCAAGTTCAGACCCCATTAGCCCATACTTGAAGCTAAGGGTAAGCTAACTTCATCTGCCACACTGTTGCCCCCTCGCTCAATCGTGTACACAGAGATACCATCCCGTACCCAGGTCAAATTCAGCTGAGCCTGTCTATATAGTGCTTCTGGTGAGACTGTGATCTGGAGGAGGAGGAGGAGATTGGATTTATACCCCGCCTTCACTACATGAAGGAGTCTCAGAGTGACTTTCAATTCTGAGCAATCAAATCTCTCCCTGGCCTTAATGCTTAGAATTAATAGATTGTTCCCCTTGATTGGCAACAATGCTACCATTCCTAAATACTGCTAGGCTGTAAAATAACAGTAATAACATTAACAGCAAAACAGTAACAACTACAACTATGATGATGATGGTGATGATGTAAATTGTCACAGTCATATATTTGACTGGTAGATGGTGTTCTGCAGTTTGAGATCTAGCCAAGTTTAAGTAATTGCAGGTGTATCTTTGCAGGGTTCTTGCTCTTCCAAGCAATTTTGTCTTCCAGAGCTGAGCTGGTGTTATTTGCTCAATGCTAAGAATGTCCGGGTGTTTCTTGAGAATTCTAGGTACCTCTACAAGCATTCCAATGACAACTGGCCATGATGGTCACTTTCTTCTCCCAGAGGCATTCTGTCTGTAGGTTTTGATATTTACTGATCTTCTCCTTTCCTTCTCCTTTTTCTATTCTGGTGTCTCATCATCATCACCACCACCACCATCATCACCAACTTCACCACCACCACCACCACCACTGCCATCACCATGGATTGTCACAGTTGGATGTGTGACTGGTAGATAGTGTTCTAAATTAAAGTCTATACCAGCTGAGTCATCACCCACTTTAAAATGGACCAAATCAGAGATTGGTGTTTCTGGATCTTTGGTGGAAAATGGAACACAGGATACTGGCTCTTCTGTTCAGCAACCAGGGGAAAGGACTGGTGTGCTACTAAAAGTAGAATCTTATGTAAAGCAACCAGAGAAAGGATCTGATCAGCTACTGGAAAACCAGCAACTAGGGTTGCCAGCCCCCCAATTGGGGTGGGTTTCCCCCCAATTTCATGGGAACCAATCCACCACTGACCATCTGGCCAGCGGGGAACCCCACCCGCAAAGAGCCCTGCTGTGCCCAACATGCTTGGCACAATGATGTCACCCAGAGGTAATATCATCGTGCCAGGCACGTCATGCAGGGAATGCTCTAGCATTTGGTGTAGCCAGTTTGGTGTAGTGGTTAAGTGCGTGGACTCTAATCTGGGAGAACCGGGTTTGATTCCCCTCTCCTCCACATGCACCTGCTGAATGACCTTGGGCAAGCCATAGTTTTGGCACAGATGTTCTTGAAAAAGAGCAGTTTCTGTCAGAACTCTCTCAGCCCCACCTACCTCACAGGGTGCCTGTTTTGGGGAGGGGAAGGCAAAGGAGTTTGTAAGCCACTCTGAGACTCCTTTGGGTAGTGGAGGGCAGGGTATAAACCCAACCTCTTCTCTCTTCTAGGATTTGGTTAAAAATTCTATGGTGACCATAGAGTTTTTGCCCAAATGCTAGAGCGTCCAGTGTTCCCTCTAAGCTGAGTTTGTATGAGCTCGCTCACAGTTTTTTTTAGCTCTTGTCTCATGCATTTTTGTCTTAGGAAGTGTGGCTTCAGAGCAAACTACTTCATGCAGTAGCCAAATCGCTCGCTCACAACTTTAATGCCAGCAGCTCACAAAGTAGAATTGTTGCTCACAAGACTCCCCAGCTTAGAGGGAGCATTGAGAGCGTCCCTTGCATGATGTGCCCGGTGTGATGACATCACTTCCAGGTGTATCACGTGTGCCAGAAGATCCAGGGGAGCAGCCTGGACCCCCCCCCCTTGCTGGCAGACAGTAAGGACCTGGCAACTCTACCAGAAACTCTGAAAAGAATGGTCTTGGGACACTTGGAGCATAACACTCCTGATATCACAATTTGGGGGGGGGGAATGAGAAATAGGGTTTGGATCATTGACATTGCAATCCCAGGAGACAGCCGAATAGAAAAGCAAGAACAGGAAGAGATCATGAAATACGATTCTGGGATTAATCTTCACCTCAGTAAAGAAGGAATCTTGCTCTCATAAACATACGTCGGTATTCGTTCCTCCCCTCTTTTGCTCCATGATTTAGCCAAGGTGCATGATAGATAAAGAAATACTGTGGAGGAGGAGGAGGAGGAGGAGGAGGAGGAGGAGGAATTTATACCCCGCCCTTCACTTGGAGTCTCAGAAATACTGTGGAGGAGGAGGAGGAGGAGGAGATTGGATTTATACCCCGCCCTTCACTTGGAGTCTCAGAGCGGCTTACAAACTCCTTTCCCTTCCCCTCCCCACAACAGACACCCTCTGAGGTGGGTGGGGCTGAGAGAACTCTGACACAAACTGCTCTTTTTCAAGGACAGCTGTGCCAGAGCTTGTGACTGACCCAAGGTCACATCAGCAGGTGCAAGTGGAAAAGTGGGGAATCAAACCCGGTTCTCCCAGATTAGAGTCCGCGCACTTAACCACTACACCAAACTGGTGTAGTTTGTAATCCGAGTAAGTAATCCGAGAAGAATGAAAGTAGTCTGTGAAGTAAAATCTCCTGGTGGTTCCTGACCCCCCCCCAAAAAAAAATCCGTCTAGCCCCAATTCGACCCAGAGCCTTCTTGGCCTTGGTCCTGGCCTGGTGGAACACTCTTCCCAACAAGATCTGAGCCCCGTAGGATTTGATGCAGTTTTGCAGGGCCCGTAAAACCGAATTATTCCAACAGGCCTATGACTGAGGCGGTAACGGCTTTTCTTGGACTGGCATCCCTTTCGCTTCCCTCTGACCACTCGCCACTCTTTCTTTGTTTTTAACATCAGCCATAACATTGGCCTCTTACTCACAGACCTATATAAAGGAACTATCCCTCAGATAACCCAGCCAAGTAACCCAGACTACGATGTCAGCAAGCTGTTACCGGAGAATGCTGCTATGCCCGCCATCTGATACAAACTAGCACTTTATATTTCTATATTTGTATATGTATAACTGTATTGTCTTGATCTTATTCAACTCTTGTTTTAATTGTTTTATATTAAACAAACAAACAAGATGGATCAATTGTGCCTCATGCACTATCTGTTTGGTTTTAATTAGAATTATAGGAACTGTTTTAGTCGTTCAATTCTATGCATTGTTTTAGCATTGTTGTTACCCACTCTGAGTCCGGCTGTGCAGGGGGGGCAAGCTAGAGATCTACATAAACAGCTAGATAATCTAGCAAAATGGGTACATGCTAATTCCTAGAGTAGTTTAAGCAAGTAGACAGACTGAATGGAAGTGTAACGCAACCATACAGAATAACAGCCGAGCAAAATGTGGGGACTTCATTTATCTCTAATTACACACTCGGATTCCGAAATCAGAAGTGTTGTCGCTTTGAAATAGGATATTAAAATTTGTGCATTCCAGAAAAAGGCAGGTGATTTGCTTCCTCTGTAGTCAGCCAGGAGATCCTGCAGGTTCATTTCTGATCTGACTCAAGTAAAATTGAGTAGAACTTCTGACAAGGCCTATAATATCCTACGATGAAGGAAAGCTGCAGGGTAAAACATGCTCACCTTATAATATGCTACAAAATGCCACGGGGTTCATTGAAATGATTAACAAACTACACACTCAGAAATGAATCATACATCTAGGGCTCTTGAGAGATAATATAAAAGCTCTTGACACCTGCCACCATCTCCACAATTCTGCTCATCTTCTCTTGCTTGCTTCTCTTCTCCTGCTCTTGGTAAGTCCACTTCTTCTCAGTGTATATGAGGTATACGGTAAGAAAACCAGATGGAAAGTCAGGAAGCAAGTTGGGAAAGTTCCCCCGTTGGAAAAGGTTTTGATTGGATCAGTAGCATTTCTCACCCGTGAATGTCCATTCCCATAGGAAGGAAGGAAGGAAGGAAGGAAGGAAGGAAGGAAGGAAGGAAGGAAGGGCATCTGTAGGGACGTAGAGGCATAGAGATAAATGGTGGAAGCACAGGTGGCTCTCTGGGAAATGTGCAGGGGTTGAAGTAGACACGTATTGAGAAAAAGTGTATGCTGCCTCTCCGGAGCCGAAGACACCTGCATGAATGAGATGAATGGTGACAGTCTCATACATTCAATTTTCAGCTCATATTAGAGTTGGCAGGTCCTGGTAATCTCCAAGAATCATAACTGATCATAATAGACAATAGAGATCATTGCTCCTGGATTAAAGTCAAACTTTGTGTCCGGCAGTCTGTTGTTCACTTTGATCTCCACTGCAAGAACGTGAGCACAGTTACTTTGCAGCAGGTATCTGATGAATGAAAGCTTTGACTCTAGACAATTTATACCCCCAAATCACGTTGACCTCCAAGATGCTACTGGGCTTGAGTCTAGCTTTCCTACGCATATCTCCAAAAAAGGCCTCCATTTTTTTAAAAAAAGTGGAGCAATATTCTAATGACCATTTCTTCTTCCATTACTCAATCTGAAAATAGCCCAGACTTGATTTACCAAAAAAAGTATTACTGAGTTGAATTGAATTTACTCCCCCAGGAAACTGGTTATACTTGTGACTTTGATCAGTTTGTTCTTCAGCCTTTCCCATTGACGTGTCCCTTCCTTTAATCATGTCATTTCAGACTCTCCTCCACCTTTTCAAGATGTCTTGCTGCTGTCCTCCAACCTGTGCCATCCCCTCCTGCCCCCAACCTTGTTGCTCCCAACCTTGCTGTTCCCAACCTTGCTGCTCCCCATGTAGCTACCCTGTCGGCGGTCTGGGCTCCCTGAATTGCTGCAACAATTCATGCTGCTCCTCTTCATGCTGCGGTAACTCAACATCAGCGCGTTGCCTTGGCATCACCAGTGGGGCCAACGTCGCATGCGTCAGCCAAATCCCACCATCGGAATGCGTTATACATCCACCTCCTTTTGTGGTTGTGGTCCCGGGGCCTGTCCTCTCTGCCTCCTGTGAGCCTCTTCGTGTGGGAGGGTACACAGCCTGTGCCGGTTGCTCCCCTTGTGGACGCATCTGCAGTTCCTCCTGTTAAATTGGAAGAATGGGAATGAAACGGCTTACCTGGAAAGCATGGAACGGATCGACGGCTGACGACTTCACGGTCCTGGGTGTCAGAAAGAACGACTCTTCCTCGTTCAAATCAGGATCAGTTGGTGCCTTACAACATGGCAAATGCCCGTGACCACCAATGTGTGATGGTTATTTTCTCTCTCTCTCTCTCTCTAAGCTCTATGTCTTTTCCCTAAAATTATGTCAATGATGTTGATTTGGCCTCCGTGGGCTTCACATTTCTCAGGGGCCCACAACGTTCTTCCTACATAAACAGTAACCTGTGTTTATCTCTGCATACATTTCCTCTGAAACCTTTAAGTTATCCCAGCTAAACGGGAAGTGGACAAACCACTGTTTGCTGAGTAAAGAATGCCTGTTTGTCATCCGTGGAACTGCTTCACTGCAAATGATGTCACACCTCTTTTTCTTTCAATAAAGCTTCTGTCTGCACCAATTTTTTTTCTTGTGGATTCAGCTGCTTCTTATTTCAAAGAACTTGTAAAGTGGGGAGGTGTCTTTACTCAGTGGTAGACCACACTCAGACGGACTCAGAGTCAATAGCCGGCTCCTCGATCCCAGACATTAGCTGTTGAGCAGTTACATGACACCATGATGAACAACTGCCATTTAGACCAGTATAGGAACGGGCAAAAACGGACTCATGAACTAAAGTTCATCATGAATGTTGGCAGTTTTGTAGCTTGCAAGTTTACTGCTATGAATTTCCACAGCTTTAAGCAGTTCGTGGCTGTTTTGTGGCAGTTCGTGAACAGATAAATTTCCATTCACTCTCTCCACTCAACTGAAATGTTTACCAAACTTCCAAACTACAGCGGGGTGGAAGTCTTCTCCAGCCTTGGAAACATCAGTAGGGGCCCTCCAAAGCTAGACAGGCTCTGCTGGCTGCCAGTAACAGAGTTCCCATTCTGCTCTATGGGATCAGAATGCTATATATACCGTCACCTCAGCTCCACACTCTCTCCTCTGCTGACTTGCTGAGTGTTGGCAGAGAGGCAGAGAACTTGCCCTGTTTCTGCCAAAGAATCATGAATGACCAAGCAGCTTACTGATACATTTGCTTCCTCACTGTGATGAGAAATCAGAACCTGAGCCGAACCAGCTGAGCCAAACCTGTTTCCCAAATCCAACCATGGACAGAGAGAAAAATATGTTGTGGTAGTAGAGAAAGGCTTGATAGGATTGCTGACATGTTTGCATTGTGTGAGGTCCCAGTTTTCAACCCGTGCTGAAGTCCTCCTAACAATCCTATCCCGTTGATTCCGTTTCTTCCACCTACGGTCGCCAGGTCCTACTTGGCAGCTTGTGGGGGGATCGTGGGTCCTCTCTGGGATCTACTACTGTGCACCCAACTGGCCCAAAAGATGATGATGTCACCTGGAAATGGCTGGCGGCAGGGAAGCAGAGGTTCCCCCACCCCCAGTTAGGGTCTCACAACCCTACTTCCACTTCAAGTCCAAGTAGCAGGTCAGCTGCTTGGCATGCAGAAGGTCCCTTTAAATGCCCTTTGAAGGTAATTAAATACCCTCTGAGCTGTCCCCCCACCAGGAACTACATAAGAACATAAGAGACGCCAATGTTGGATCAGGCCAAAGGCCCATTCAGTCCAACACTCTGTATCACACAGTGGCCAGAAATACCAGGTGCCATCAGGAGGTCCACCAGTTGGGCCAGGACATTAGAAGCCCTCCCACTGTTGCCCCCCCCCCAAGCACCAAGAAGACAGAGCATCACTTGCCCCAGAGTCCCTATCTACACCTTGTGGCTAATAGCCACTGATGGACCTCTGCTCCATATGCTTATCCAAATCCCTTTTGAAGCCGTCCATGCTTGTAGCCGCCACCTCCTCCTGTGGCAGTGAATTCCAAGTGTTAATCACTCTTTGGGTCAAGAAGTACTTCCTTTTATCCGTTCTAACCCAACCGCTCAGCAATTTCATGGAGTGCCCACACAATATTCCAAATGAGGTCTCACCATTGATTTATATAGGGGCATTATGATATTGGCTGATTTGTTTTCAATACCCTTCCTAATAATCTCCAGCATAGTGTTGGCCAGTTCGGGCCCCATCAATGTGTATTTATAGTTAGTAATAGCAGCACCAACCCGCCCCAATTCAGATGTCTATGGAGGACATCTGTAAGGGTAACCAGAGCCATCTCCATTCCATAACCAGGGTGGAAGCCAGACTGGAAAGGGGCACTAATGGAAGCGTCATCCAGGAAAGATTGGAGTTGTTTGGCCACAAATCTCTCAAACACCTTACTCAGGAACAGTAGATTTGACACTGGACAGTAGTTGGCCAGGACCATAGGGTACAGTGGTGTTTTTAGAAGAGCAGATGGACTACTGCCTCCTTTAGAGCACCTGGGAAAAGTCCCAGTAAGGTAAAGGTAAAGGTTCCCTTGCTCGAAAGCCAGTCGAGTCCGACTCTAGACTTGTGGTGCTCATCTCTGTTTCAAAGCCGAAGAGCCAGCGCTGTCCGAAAACATTTCCGTGGTCATGTGACCAGCATAACTAAACACCAAGGTGCATGGAACACTGTTACCTTCCCACCGAAGTGGTACCTATTTATCTACTTGCAATTTCTTGCTTTCAAACTGCTAGGTTGGCAGGAGCTGGGACCAGAGACGGGAGCTCACTCCGTCATGCGGCACACTCGGGTCTTAAACTGCCTTCCACAGCCTGCAGTTCAGCGTCTTAACCACTTGAGCCACTGCAGCTCCCTAAAGTCCCAGTAGACAGGGAGAAGTTGATATTTTCTCCCAGAGGGACCCAAATACTCTCCCCGCAACCCTTCAAAAGTCAGGAAGGGCATGGGTCAAGGAGGCAGGTAGTGGGTCTCCCAGCTGCCAAGGGAGTGAGGGCACGATGGCGACAGAGGGCCATATGAATCAACTAATGTACTTAGGGAGGTGAGGGTTACTGGAGAGGGAAACACATTAGAGGTGTTTATATGCCAGTGCTAGAAGTATCCAAGCCAAGATGGGGAGCTGGACATCAGACACTGTGTTCACTGACAATTTAGATATAGTAGGCATCTTGGGGAAATGGAGTTTACGCTCCTTGTAAACCTGGGAACAAAGTCTAGCCACCCGTCGTGTTGTCTGGTGGTGGACCATTGGTCTGATCCAGCTGGGCTCCTCTTATGTTGTAGGTTATCGAGTGGTCTTGGCCCAGTCACAGTTCTCTCAGATGTCTCTTGGTCTGTTGTGATGAGAGGAAGGGATTATTATGATCTGTGGTATTGTCGTTCCTGTAGTGGTGAGTGTTTGTAATTTTTCCTCTCGGGAAGTATTTCCATTTGAAGATATGCGGGCTAGTTGTGTAAGATGCGTGCTATTTTTTTGTTGGTGTTAATCATTGCTCCACAAAGAGATTGATGAGAAACATCTATGGAGAGACCAGGCCCATAGACAAGATTCTTTTGTTCAGGGGTATCTAAATTTTTAAGGGGTATTTAAATTACAGTTAATTAAATTAATCTGAATGCCTGTCTGCACCTGTTTCTAGCCCTTCCTTTCAAGGGATAGTGTCAGTCAATATCATTATGCCCCTATATAATATCATAAACAGATCAGCCAATATCATAAGGCCCCTATATAAATCAATGGTGTGACCTCATTTGGAATACTGTGTGCAGTTCTCGTCACCACACCTTAATAAGGATATTATAGCTTTGGAAAAAGTGCAGAAAAGGGCAACTCGGATGATAAAAGGGTTGGAACACTTTCCCTATGAGGAAAGCTTAAAGCACTTAGGGCTCTTTAGCTTGGAGAAACGACGACTGAGGGGTGACATGATTGAGGTTTATAAGATTATGCATGGGAAAGAGCAGGTAGAGAAAGAGGTACTTTTCTCCCTTTCTCACAATACAAGAACCCGTGGGCACTCCATGAAATTGCTGAGCGGTCGGGTTAGAACGGATAAAAGGAAGTACTTCTTCACCCAAAGAGTGATTAACACTTGGAATTCACTGCCACAGGAAGTGGTGGCAGCTACAAGCATGGGCAGCTTCAAGAGGGAATTAGATAAACACAAGAAGAGGGACCCGTGATATTCGCAGGGGGGAGTTCCACGTGGAGGAGGAGGAAGCAACTGCAGGTGAGCCTTCTCCCCTTGTCCCCCCCGGCACCAACGGCAAGGCCCGCGTGGCTCCCAGCTGCTGGGCCCACCAAGCCTTCTCCCTCCCTCCAGCACCCGCGGCGAGGCCTGAGTTTAGCCCGCCAATTCTTCTCTTCCCCCCCCCCCCGCTGGGCGGGGCAGGACACCGCGCGCGCTGCCCCAGCAGCAGCAGGGTGACAGTTGCCGGGGTGTTCTCTGCACATGTGTAGGACACGCTCTTGTACTTTTGGGGGGATTTAAATATCCGCCATATACTTTTTTCAACTTTTTAGATTTTTCTGCACTTCTGGGGATTGCCCCAAATGTGCAGGAAAATCTCCCTGCCCCCCAGGTGCCCCCGATGTGTGGATTTAGATAACCGCACGCGGGGGCACCTTGACTATTAGATATATAGATATGGAGCAGAGGTCCATCAGTGGCTATTAGCCATAAGCTATAGATAGGAACTCTCAGTCTGGGGCAAATGATGCTCTGTATTGTTGTTGCTTGGGGGGGGGGCAACAGTGATAGGGCTTCTAATGTCCTGGCCCCACTGGTGGACCTCCGGATTGCACCAGGTATTTTTGGCCAGAGTGTTGTGACAGAGTGTTGGACTAGATAGGCCATTGGCCTGATCCAGTATTGGCTTCTCTTATGTTCTTATGTACATCAGGAGCAAAATGTGGTGGCATGCCTGCTAACGGTGACACCTATGCGGTTTAACATTTGGCAGGTACTCCGCCAATTGCATTACTTACCAGTAGAGTTCTGAATATGTTTCAAGGTATTGGTAATAAGTAGGGGTGTGCACAGAAAAAAATAACCAGCCCGATTTGGATTCAGCCAGCCAAATATCTCTCAAATATCATTATCAGCAAAGCAAACCGATTCGGGAGGTATTTGGCCAGGTTGAATATTCGGCCGCATTATACCCTATGGAAAAATCTTATAGGGTATATTTGGCAGCTTGGGGAAAGAGGGGGTTTGAGGGAGAGGCTCCAAATTTTCAGGGTAGCTTCTGGAGCCTCTCCTCACATGAACCCCCAGGTCCCAAAGAAATTGGACCAGTGGGCGCAATGCTATGGGCACCCAAACAGGTTGCCCCCATTCCCTCCATTGTTTCTAGAGGGGAAACCCAGCCAGCAGACACTCAGCAAGGCAGGCAAGCAGGCACCCAGCACTCAGACTCTCCCAGGGAATCTCAGAGAAAGAGAACTGTTGGGAGGTGCTTGTTTGCCAGGAGAACAAGTGGCACATTCCAGAGAACAAGTGTCACAGTGCCAGTGCAAGTGTGCCACTGTGCCACACAGAAACCCAACAGGACCAACAGGA